AAAGCACAGTGCTTACAAACAAGGCGGGCTGCTACTCAACGAGCTCCTGCCGACGCAACTGGGCGAGTACACTCATCACACCCGGCTCCTTCTCCATCTCCTGCCACAAACGTGGCTCCCAATCTTTGAAACCCTCGCGAACTCCCCCGCCCTTCTTTTCCGTGTTGTGTTCTGAAGACCAGCACCGAGACAGCCAGGCCCGCAAGACATGACTCTGTTTTAGAGCTTGAGTGGCCATTTCCATTATGCTCAATCCCCCCAGCACCAGCAGCAAGGTGAACCACCAGGCTGGATCGCGACCGAAAAGGAGAAGGAAGCCGCCTCGAATGGAGTATGGACCTGAGCTAGGGCCGGAGGCGACTGCAGTGATTAAAGCATAGATCCACACTCCGGCAACGCTGCCAAAAATGGCCCAGAAGGCAATTTGAGTCTTGTGATGTAGCTCGACGATCCTTGAAGTTATTAGCTGGTGAACCAAAAATGCCTACTTTAGCTTGACTTACAAAAGTTTGATGTTGATCCAAATGACACAAGCAATGAAAGTTAACAGACCTTGCGCGTAGAGGCCGTCGTCATCAATCATCTCTGAATCGGTGTATCCAGCCCAACAGCCGGCGTAGACAATGAGACCAGCGAGGAGGGCGTTGCCAACCCAGCCGAGATACACCGCCATGTTCAACCCCTCACCATTCTGGCCATATCTGAACAATTCCGGAATCGTCGCCAAAGTCCGCGACTTGAGATCCTGCTCCCAAGTTCCGAGGACGAGAATGCACACTGCTGTGAAGAAGCTGACGAATGTGAGACTTCCTGGTTCGTAGAGACTAGTCCCCGTTGCCCCGGTCTGCTCCTGAAACAGGGCCTGGGGAAAGTAGATGAATGTCTCTTTCCAAAACGTCGCAAGGATGAAGCGGGTCGTGCGGTAATAGTTCCATCGACCGTGAACCAACATCAACTTGGAAAGATATCGGAACTGGGAGATGCTGAAATCAGCAACCCGAGCCGCTTGCTGTCCCTCGCGACCGGAAATGCCAACTCCGACGTTGGCTGCGGAGATCATGGCCAGGTCGTTGGCCCCGTCGCCGATCGCGAGAGTCAAGGGCTTCTTGGGTCCCCGTTTGAGCCAAGAAAAGATTCCAGATGCCTCGCTCGGTGGGCCTTTGCGAATCGTGTTGACAAGTAGGGCTTTCTGGGCAGGAGAAGCGCGACAACAAATGACCGAGTCAACCATGATCATGAGAGAGATAAAAAGACTGCGGAGACGGACTGCAGAGGGCTCTTCAATGCAAGTCAGAGTCTCTCCATCAATAACCACCGCTGCATGCGCACGTGAAGGATCAGAATACGACGGCCCTAGACGGTACTGAACTGCATCTGTGATGCTTGTCAGCTGCAGCTCCAGATCACCTTCCTTCACGTCGAGGACGAAAAGGGATGTATCCGGGCCACAGATGCGCGTGGAATGTGCGATGTTGATTGCAGTTTCGCGCTTGTCGCCGGTGAGCATCCAAATTTTGATCCTCGCCTGGCGCAATTTCTCGATGGTCTCAGGAACGCCCTTCTGCAACTTGTCCTCGACTGCTGATGCACCAACAAGTTCCAAAGATTGCTCGAGCAGATCGCTCACATCCTCGATACGCTGCTGCCTGTTCTCGAGACTAGTCTCTGCCTCAAGGTACCGCTGCTTCCAGTTGTGGTACTCTGCTGGTTCCAGGAATCTGCCGGCGTAGATGAGCGTCCGCAGACCTTCCGTGGCATACTCATCAATCCGCGCAAAGCATTGACGAATGTTTTGAGCGTCATCCAGTAATTGAGGGTTCTCCAAAAATTGAAACCGAGATTGCTGTCCAGCCGTGGACCTCGTCGCATTGGGGCGGAGCGACTGAGGCTGAAGACGAATCCATGAGTCTTCGTTGTTTGCTGACGGTTGACTGTACTCCGAGCGATCGTCCGTATCTCCCAACTCAGCGATGGTCTCTTCAAAGTGAGGTGTTTTCTGAGTGCTCCAGCGAGCAGAGATCGTCCGCGCTCCCTTGAAACCTTCCTCGTTGCTGATAGAAGCACCTCTCATGTCTGGAGGAGCAGACCGAAGACGAGGCAAGATGATGCTGTCGGCGCCTTTGCAGATCAGCCATAATCTCCCGTCAGGGCAGCGAACGACAATCGACATTCTCTTCCGCTTGCTGCTAAATTCGATAACGTCCAAAATCTCGTAGATGGTTTGAGAAGAGCTGCCATCGACGTGGGGCATCTGCACAGTGACCGACTGGGACGAGCGCTGTGTAACGAGGAATCCCAGATCTCGCGCGCCCCTGACCAGGGCCAGCTCGTCCGGAGAAGAGGCCTGAAAGTCCATCTCTCCATCCTGGTTCCTTTCAGGCAAACAGGTATGACACAGTGCCATCGCAAGAATGTAGCGCATAGCCTTGGTGGCAAATGAAGAGTTTGGTCGTGCTCGAATGTACTCCAGCATCTCGTCGGTGGTGAGATCGGCCCCTTGGTCTCCTAACTCGTCCGAGTCTGCTGGAACGTCCATCCGATGAAGCCAGCTGGTACCGGCGATGTTGATGCGCCGTAGCTTCATAATGTTGTCGGTAAGAGTGCCTGTCTTGTCGCTGAAAACGTAGCTGATCTGGCCAAGGTCGTCGAGGTTGTTGGTGTTGTTAACGCCAGCGGTAGTGTCCGTCTCCTTATGGTACATATCCAGATCATTGCCGATGAGATTCATCTGTCCGAGCTTGATGGCCTCGAGGCCCACGTAGAGAGACAATGGAATCACGTTGTTGAACATGATGATGAAGCCAGCAAAGATGTCGAGGAGCGGGATTGACGTATTCTCGAGGTACCATGCAAACCTCTCTTGCTTGTCCTTCCAGACAACATACGCCACCGTCGCAATAGCCGAACTGAGGAGCACGTAAATCATGAGGAATACCACGATCTTGTTGGTCATGCGCTCCAACGCTGGCCGCTTCGGCTTCGTCGACTTGTTGGCATTCATCCTGATCTTGCATTCCTCGCCGGTATTGATGACGATCCCAACAACACAAGAGGTATTCCGAATCGTACTGCCACGGTAAATGACTTCGTTGATCGTCAAGGGGCGGGTGACATCGTCGACAGTCAGCTTGCTATCGAATCGGTATAAGTCCGCATTGGGATCCTCGGTGGTCAGGTGCGCTGGACATGTTGCGATGCCTTCGATGGTGCTGCAGTCGGGCAACGTCGATGGTCGCTGTTTTGCTTTAAGACTCGTTTCGCCGTCGAGAGCCATCGTATCCACGTAGGCAAATCCGCTCTCGCCATCCGCATGAAGGAGCACAATGTCAGCTGGGACGTCGTCATCTCTGGAGAGCATTATGACGTCTCCGACTTTGAGATCTCTCCATGTCGACCGCATCCACTGCAATCCAGTCGCATTTGATCCGCCGTAATACTGCGCGCCCATTGGCAATGACCCCTTCGCACCTGACGCAGCATCCCGAAGGACTACCGCGTCACGGTTGTTCTCGGCCACGTCCTGTCGATGTCTCTTCCAGTCGTAGTAGCCCTCTTTGGCGATGATGAGGGAGAGGAAAATGAGTAAGGGAATGAGGGTGGTGAATCTGCCAGTGGTGCTGAACCCAGGGATTACCTGCAGTATTGATATCACCAACATGTAGGCATTGGCCAACCGTGAGAATTGGTACAACAATTGCCGTGGTAGGAAGTCAAAGACGTTGTACTTTGACGTCTTGATAGCGTTGGATATGTATGGTTTCCGGCGGCGCTCATCTTGAAGAGGTTGTCGATGACTCAGTCCGATGGGAATATGGCGACCGTTTGTGGAGGGAGGTAACGGACGCCTCTTGAAGAGCGAACTAATTGACCAGCCCTTCTCGTTCTGCAGCATTGTTGCGGACTTGTCTTCGGAGGAGCTTTCAAGCTCAAGGCTAGCAGAGGTGCACACTTTGAGCTGCGAGAGTTGGGAATGCTGGTTGACGATGTTCAAAATGGAAAGATTCCGTGAATGTGTAGAAGTTTTTGATGATACACCTTTGGGATGGACTTGAATCCTCAAGATGATATTCTAATGATGACGGCCAGCATAAGCATTTAGATAACGGGACCTGAGAGGCTATATCCAATTTCATTCGAAGTTGATCTCATTGTGTTCAATTACAAAGACTAATTTTACCTTCGTCTTCGTTAAACACATCGCTCAGTTTTCCGGCCCGCAAGCCAAGGATACTGCGGCATGTCGAAGCATAGTTCCGATACAGTTGCACCATGAATCCCTGCATTATCCGCACGAACCAGCCCCTGGCCGAAGGCATTTCGAAAGAGAAAACGATAACGAGATTCTTGGCACTGTAGCCACGATTAGTTGGCGTTAGACGAACTCAGCCCTGCAGATCCCTAGCGGACATTGTGATGCCCAGCTTCCCGCAGCAAAAACGCGCGTAACCCTCCGTAACGTCGAACACTGCCACACTTCAGGCCATTTCTGCTGCTGCGAGCTTGATTTACACGGGATTTAGACGGCATCGGCATTCGATGCCGCTGCCACAACACATTGACAGACCCACCCCTGCCTCGTTTTGCCTCTTGGCCTGACTCGTTTTCAGCTTCTATTCTCCCTTGCTTCGCCGCTGCCTATGGTTAAGGTTTCACCCTGTCTACGTAGGCGGCGCCTAGTGGGCGATCAAAACTGAATTTGATTCTTATCATATTGCTTTTCGAGACTTTACTTTGGGCAGTGGAGGTCCGTAATTGATGAGACACGAGCATAGCCAGCCATGGGATAACCTCAAACATCTTCACGCCGACGATGAGTGGAACATTGGTCATGAACATGCATAGATGTACCCTCTCGCCAACGTCTCGACCGCTTCCAACATTCTAACGGTGACTGCCCTTTCAGACCTCTACCGATTTCATTTCTAAAGCTCCTACTATACGCCCTATCCTCCGCCCAGGACACCTGTCTCTCTTGCTCGAAACACCTCTGCACATCTGCGATGGCGCGTCTTCGACCTGGGAAAGAAGTTGCTGGTGAGAAGACAAACAAGCCGAAAGACACACCTTTCAAACAGCAGCGTATGAAGGCATGGGAGTATGTCGAGTTCAGTTCACACATCCCGCTCTTCGGCTAACAGGTCAGGCCAATTCTTACGCCCAAAACGTCAATTAGAATCTTCCTTTTCATTGGAAGTATTTTTCTTGCCATCGGAATTTTCTGGCTTGTCGTGAACGACCAGGTATGTGCGCCAAGGGATACCAGCGTTTGAGAATTGCACCATTCTTATCTTTGTCAAAGGTCAGGGAAATTCGCCTGGATTATACGAAATGCCACGAAATCGAATCATACGACGAGCTCGAGGTGATGCCACCAGATAATGTGGAGAAGAAGCTCAAAGCATCCTCCGCGGGACAGCTGGTGGACCAGTGGAAGCGGTCAAACAAATCTCTGACCTTCGATGGCGTCACAAAGAACTACACTCTTTGCATCATGGAGTTCTTCCTCCCTGAAGAGTTGCAACCACCTGTGCTGTATTACTACCGTCTGACGAACTTTCATCAGAACCATCGCGAGTACATCAACTCTCGTGACAAGAAACAGTTGATGGGCGACAGTGTCAGCATCAACAACATCAAGTCGTCTGATTGTGGGCCTCTAAAGACGCGCCAGTCAATCGATGGATCGGAAGAGATCATATATCCCTGTGGAATGATTGCCAATTCGTACTTCAACGACACTTTCCACGACCCGATTCGCCTTCCCTCCTCGAGTGGCTCAAACCAAACGCATACATATAACATGTCCCGAATTGGCATCGCCAAAGACATCGACAGGGCAATCTATCGACCGAGTAGCTACCAGATACCTGCAGAAGCCGGCGAAAACGGCACCGTAATTGTTCCTCCCCCTGGATGGGTTGAGCGGTTTCCGAACGGGTACCATGCTGGCAACATGTTCAACCCGGCGGAGGATGAATCTTTCATGGTTTGGATGCGAACATCGGCCGGGAACAGATTTGCAAAACTTGCCATGCGCAACAACGACGACGCCATGGAAAGAGGAATGTACCGTATCGAAGTCATATCACGTAAGGCATTGAGACCGTTTCTGTAATTCAAGCTACCACTGACACTTGTTCAACCAGATTTCCCGATCCACAAGAATCATGGAACAAAATCTATCATCATATCCACAAATTCAGCGGTCGGTAGACGGAACGAATTTGTGGGAAGAGCTTATACGGCTTTGGGCGCCTTTTCTTTATTCGCCGCCTTCCTGTTTGCACTTACGTTAAGATACCGGCCGAGAAAGCTTTCGGAACACGACTATCTACACCGAAGTAACCTCTTGCTTCGAAATCGTAGCGCAAGTCTTTGAGTTTGTTTGCTTCTTAGTCGATTGAAATTCGCTTTTGGATTGATCAACTGGAGATATATATCATTGCATTGAGTTTTGGTTTCGTCTTTTTTCTGGATAAATACTTTGCACGACATTGTCCCCGTCGCATCGAAAGCTATTAAAAATTGTAGACTGAGAAAGTTTGTTTGTTTCAAACTCTCTCGAATCACTCAGATCGTGAATCATTGCAGCCAGTGAACGCTGCGCAGAAACTCGCTTGCATGCAGGATCCTTTTGCCCTGAACCAATAACAGTTGCGGACGACGATCGGGGAGGGGTTGCCAGGGAAGGGGATCACCAGTGTTGGCTGCCAGCGATCCCTGAACGAGCCTCAGCCTGACCCAGAAACTCACCTGGTTGCTTATTTCCCAAGATTCACCGTCTCGATCGCAGTAGTTGGGTCACCGCGGTAAACGAGAATCCGAACCACGTTGTCGACTTTGCAAAGCCGCATCGTGTCGCCATGGACATCGTTCATCACGACGTCGGACAGGCCCCGCCCCCGGTGACCAAGGGCAGGATTTATGCGACGGAGGAGCTCTGGGCCTGTCATCAAGGGGTTATCACCCGGCTGTACAAAGACGAAAACAGGCCGTTAAAGGAAGTGAAGCAGATCATGGAGACTGAGTATTTCTTCCACGCAACGTACGTCGAAGAGCCTGCCGTCGAGCCCTGGAGACACGAGATCCAGGGTTGGCGACCCGACTTGAACAGAAATCGAGAACGTTGCGGGCTAACGGTTTCAACCAAACACACAGGGAGAGAATGTACAAGACGCGGATCAAGCGCTGGGGCCTTGACAAGAAATTCAAGGAGGCTGAGATACTCGCCCTGCTGAAGCTCAAGCGGGACCGGGACGCCGTCGGCAAAGACACACGCTTCGCCATTCGTAATCAGGACGTCGACTGGGGCCGCGTGGTCCACTACCTCAAGCGCAGGCCCGATCTGCAGGACAAACTGCGCCTATCAGCCGCCGATGATTGCAATAAGTCCGTCGTCCAATGGGATAGTGTCGTCCGGTATCTCAGTCAGAGACCGGACCTGCGGGAGGACCTCGAGGCCGTCGCTCGTCTCGACGTCGTCTGCAGGACGCCCTCGCCCGTCCCCGAGCCGCTTGACCCGGCACCCGGCCTCCGCTTCGCCGACGAGATCCTGCGTATCCTGGAAGGCTTCTTCGACGGCGTCTTCCAGGACAGCCTGTGGTCTGTCGTTGACGGGGCCCTCTGCACTGGCGGCCGGCGCGCCAGCCGCAAGCGCCTCGAGAGGTGGTGCCGCGTTATGAGCGGCGTCTACAACCTCCTGGGTCGCGGTGAGACTGAGGCCGCGGCCGCGATCCTCAAGAACGAGTATGGCTTTATCAAGTGGATTGTCCAGAAGTCGGACCCGGAGCTGTCGTACTTCTTGTGCTACAACGTGCTCCAGCAGCCGCCGCACGTATCCGACGTCCTCGTGCCGTATGCCTGCGGTATGTACACCGCGGTGCTCGGGGAGCGGCACCCCCTCACGCTGATATGGCGGCCCATCAGAGCGGCCGGTACAGCAGACCGTGTCGGCATCCTGAGCAGCATAGTCCGGTACACCTCGCGGTACTGGGAGACGAGGCTGGGCGTGCTAAACGTCACGATGAACTGGATCCACGGGCTGCAGGGTCAGCTGCTTGACGTGCTTGGGGAGGCAGGAGGTAACGACTTCCAGCGCATAGTATCGATGTACACGCGGGCCGCCGCGGAGTATGCGGACGTGGGACGCCTCAAGGATGAGTGTAAATGCCTCTTCGCGCTGATCGGGCTCCACAGCACGGCGAAGAGGTACGATCTGGCCATGCAGACGCTGGGGCGGGCTTACGAGGTCGTCGAGGAGGTGCGGCGCAGCCACCCGGCCGCCGAGCAGCTCATGCAGATGTGGACGTACGGCGAGATGGGCCAGCTGAGCTACAGCGTGATGAGTGCCCGCAGGTATAAGAAGAATTACGCGCGGGAGCACACGTACGCCATGAAGAGGTACGGGGAGAATAGCAAAGAAGCGTTGTCGCACATGCTGGAGGATTCTGGTGCGCTGCCCTGTCGGCTATGACGAGCTTATAACTGCGATGGGAGGAAACAAATGTTTTAATATTTATGAGACCACGACGGATAAGAGACAGACTGCGTAATTCAATCCAACAATACCCCCCGCCCCTTAAAGAACTGGATCGTATCTTTTCCGAATCCTTTCGCCAAAAAGATAAAGCCCAACCGGTACGGGAACAAGAAGTAAACAAACCAATGCCAAAAGGCTGTTTCCCCATCCCAAGCCAAGTGCATCGTACATCTTCAGTCCTCCGAGGGGCATCAATGCTCCGATCAAGGATCGCAACAATATGACCGCGGCAGAACCTGATGCCGCGTATCTCGGGTACGAGTCCATTTGATAGCTTTGAAGAGACATCTGAATAACCGTTAGCTTTAAAACAGGGCTTCTCAGTTAGGGGGGTAGATTTTACCGTTGCTCCTGTCAAACCAAGCGCAAACATCATGGCGCCAATCATGGGGACAATCCAATGAACTCTGTAATGGCTTGCCCATCCATAGAGTAGTAATCCGGCGGGCATCAACAACCCTGCTGAAAGAGTGATCCAGGGTGTTAGCTTGACCTCAAGTTTGTATTTTCCATCGTCATCAGGATTCCTCTTCGCCCGCAGCACCAGATAATCTTGTACGTGTCCCAAGCTCAACACCCCGATCATCATGCCCAGGTCCGCAGGAAGAAAAGACAGCCCGGTGTCTCCCTCGTCAAAGCCGTACTGTGAAGAGTAGACGAACGAAAACGTGGTTACAAGGAGATAGAATATTCCGTAAACAATGCCAACGTAGACCGCAATCGTCGAGACCAGGGGTGTCCGAAACAGAAATTTGAGTGGTCGAATGAGGGCAATCTTGATTCGCGAAGACTCTTCTGTGTCGAGTTTGCTCCGGAGAGTACAATTGCCCGTTGCTTTTCGTATCGCCTTTGCTTTCCGTTCTAGCAAAACAGGTGCGTAAGTCTCCCTCATCACCAAGAGTGCGAGGACGCCAAAAGTCGCTCCCTGATTACGTCAACGATGGCCATCACGATGTAGAAGTACCACTCACCAAGATGGCCAATAGCCAGTAAACCCACCGCCAACCGACTGCCTCAATCAGGTATCCTCCTGCGATCGGTCCAAGAGCAGGGCCTAACAGAGGCCCTATTGCCCACAAGGAGATTGCCCTGCCTCGCTTCTCTGGTTTCATCACGTCGACGACGCTTCCGACTCCGACGGTCGTAGGAACTGATCCAGAGACTCCCATTAGAAGTCGAAAGGCCATCAGCATGTCCAAGTTCACACTCAACGCCGCACCGATACTGAATGCAGTGAATGCAATGTTTCCCGCATGGTACACATACATCCTCCCGTGCATCTCGCTGAGGGGAGCGATGACAAGCGGGCCAAAGGCAAATCCGAGGAAGTAGATCGAGACCACGAAGGTTGATGCCATTGGAGAGCTATTTCCGAACTCTGCCATCAGCTTGGGGACACCAGGTGCAAACATTGACGAACCCTGTCTCCAATAAGCAATGAACATTCACAATCTCAAGGTGTTCCCTTAGAACTTACCAGCGGCCTGCAACTCGTCAAAAACAATCAATTCTAGGGTGATGGAAGTTACTAACGATATAATTGACAATATTGACATTACGGTTAGGTTCACCCATTTTCGCGGCTCTGGCCAATTCATGGGATTGTTAGGATCATCGAGCCCGTTCCAGTCGACAATGTTTTGTCCTTCAAGAGAATTTTCCTCACAAAGGACTTGGTTTGCATCTTGTCGATTGCATTCGGGTTGCTGGACCGAAAGACATGTTGTCGGGACCGTGGTCGAGAGACCAGAAGTCACTTTTTCGATGTCAGAGTTTTCCGCCATTTGGGTTCGTCAATGTCAAGTAACACCTTTGTGGAATTCAATGCGACGATTTGTAGTATTACTGGGTGATTCTTTATGCCATGGTCCCTTTCTTCTATCTTTTGGCATCTTCCCACATTTCTTCCTTCTGTTGGTCCAACCTAGCAGACGATCTGTGAATCTGATTTCGGATTTCACACTCTTTTCGTACGTCAAACTCCGGGCCATGTCCAGAAAGACTTTCGTCAATTGGGCCCGCCAATCATCATCTGCTGAAACTTCATGGGGCTCACACAGGACGTGTCTTCTAAGAGTTTCTGGGTTTACTACGCGGTTGCAAAAGTCTACCACATGGCGCAGCTTCAATACAACTATGCATGACTTAGATCATGACCATCGACATCGTTCGCGTTCTCGTTTGGAACCATCAACACGGAAACGATAACGACAACGACGACGAGATGCCCCGCAGATCTGCGAGCTAGCCTGTTCGTGATTGCGGGAAGGGGCTTGGCTCCAGGCTTCGCTTCTAGGCTTAGCTGTGCAGGGCGAAGACCATTCAGCCTCCGAATTTGATACGCCCTACAACTTGTGCGGAGGTATTTGACCGCCACAGCGCACGCCCAGGGTTCTGGAACCTTGTGCCGAGAACATGCCTTAGCTATTCCCCGAACCCCGTAGAGAAAACAATTTGGCTTCAGATTTGCCGCGCATTACGACGCAGGCTGATGGCAACGAAACCATCTGTGGGCGCTATTAATTGTACATCTTCCACAATGGCAAAATTGCCCCCGGATTTCCAACGCTGGAAGAACGGGATTCGTTCCCATTCGATAGCCCTCAATCCCGTCGCCCTCCAAGGCCGCCAGTATTGTGGTTTCAACGAGAACGAGCCTCATCAGTTCATCCGAATGAAGCAAGCTGGCGCCCTAAAAGGCTGCGTCTGATCTCTCGGGCTGATCTCAGTGCCGGGCGTCTCGTTTTCGTCTCGCATCCTTTTCCCGTTTTCGCATCTCCCAATCATTCGTCAAAGCTGCAATCGCCGTCCCAGCGTCGTCAAGGGTAACCCAGCCGCTGCCGCTCCGGAACCCACCAATCCGGGCAGTGATGAAAATATGCGCCCTGGCAATCGCATTGATTCGGGTTCCAATACTCGTATTTCTCGGGTTACGAGGGTTGATCGACTCATTAGGACGAAGAGCATTCCAAAGATGCACTTTCGGGCACATTTGCGATGATGAAGACATGCTTTAAATCCCCTTTCACCTATTGTCGGACGCAAGTTTGGCTCAGAAAAGAGCCCCGATGCATCACACTCATTCTCTAGATAGAGAAGAAGACAGTATGTTCTTGCAGATCGACATTTGGACAGGCCTCTTGGCCTTCTTTGGTTTGGTGAGTCCGCCGGCTTGACATTTGAAACGGCCACATCTAACGACATTCGACAAGATCGCGGTCTATCTTGCATTTTCAGTATTTTACAACCTTTATCTTCATCCACTACGAAACTTTCCGGGACCTCTTCTTCTCCGGGCCACACGACTAGGCTTTGGCTACAAACTCAACAAAGGCACGCTCCCGTTTGACATCTTGGAGCTCCATAAGAAGTACGGCGACATTGTCCGAGTGGCACCCAACGAACTCGCCTTCAATAATGTTGGCGCCTGGAAGGATATCATGGGCCACCGATCGTCCGGTGCGCCGGAATTTGAGAAGTATCAAATGTTCTATCGTCCAGTCGCGACGATTCCCTCTACCATTGTAAGCTCCGGTGGAAAGGAGCATGCATTGCTGAGGAGATCAATGTCGCATGGCTTCAGCGAGCGCAGCCTGCGGGATCAACAACCCCTCATCATGCAGTACGTAGACCTCTTCATCCAGCGTCTTCACGAGAACTGCACCAACGACGAACCGATTGACCTGATGGCTTGGTACAACTTCACCACGTTCGACATCATCGGTGATCTTGCGTTTGGTGAGCCGTTTGGATGTCTCGAGAGGTCAGATTATCATCCCTGGATTCGCACCATCTTCATCTCAGCTCGGCTTGGGACAGTCGTGCAAACTGCCAACCACTACCCCTGGCTGAAGAAGCTAATGCTCAACCTTTTGTCAACCAAGTCCGCAAGGGCGAGTCGCGGAAAGAATCTCAACAACGCCAAGGAAAAGGTCCAGCGACGCATGGACCTGGGCGGTAAGGGGGGCAGACCAGATCTCATCGAAGGATTGCTGAAGAAGAAGGATGAACTCGTAAGGCCTGACCCGTAATCATTTGTTATGACCTTTGTGCATCAACAATATCGTATCTTTTGACTTATTTCAATGTTGTGTGCTCCAGGGCCTCTCTTTCGACCAGCTCGCTGCCAACAGCAACACACTCGTCATCGGAGGATCAGAAACAACAGCCACTCTGCTATCCGGGGTGACTTACTATCTGTTGACCAACCAACATACGCTTAGGAAACTGGTAGCTGAAGTTCGGTCGACCTTCGAAAAGGAAGATGACATCACCATCATCTCAGTCAACAAGTTGAGCTACATGCTAGCTTGTCTGGACGAGGCTCTCCGTATCTACCCTCCTGTGTCGATGGGTCTACCGCGAGTGACTCCCAAAGAGGGCGCTACTGTCTGCGGTCGCTTCATACCTGGAAATGTGAGCTGTTCGAAGAGTACATCCCAACACTGAAGCTGTAATGCTAACTGACTTCAACACAGATGACTGTCGCCATTCATCAATGGGCGATACATCACAACGAAGCCTACTTCAAAGATCCATTCAGTTTCCGCCCGGAGAGATTTCTCGGCGACCCGGAGTTTGATTCCGATAACCGAGACGCCTTCCAGCCCTTCCACATCGGAGCCCGTAATTGCCTCGGGCGAAAGTGAGATCACCCTGCTATCACAGCATCTTGTGTTGTGTGAAATATGGATTCAGTAGCTGACATGTGCAGTCTGGCGTATGTCGAGATGCGCCTAATTCTAGCTCGTCTGATTTGGAGTTTTGACCTTGAGCTTGCGGAGGAGAGCCAAGACTGGGTGGGACAGCAAAAGGTCTTTATCCTATGGGACAAGGGGCCTCTCAAAGTTCACCTCAAGCCCGTTGCCAGAGCTTGAAACCATTCGTGAATGTTTCCTTACTAGACCTGCTTTGCTTTAGAACGTCCATTTTATCTCATTGTAAACCTGACCTGTTGCTGTGGATGACGGAACACTTAGTGAAAGGTGATCGGCCCTCCATGTGAACGGTCGAGTTGCACGCTGACCCGATCGGACCCCGCTAATGCAGTTACTGCGCAGTAACATTTCGATTACGTGCAATCGGAAGGCCGCTAAGATGTTATTCACATCATTATTGTGCGACGAGTTAATGGAGCCTGCCAAACGTCTGACAAGAAAAGCCCCAACAAAATGACGTCATGTTCGATCCAGGGAGGGTCAAGAGGAATTTTTTAAGGGTGGTTCATAGCGAATATCATTGACGAAAATCCTTCGCGCGCAATGGGTCCAACACACTTCAGTGACATAAACATCAGCGTGTGGCTGGATAGGGTGATCCCCGCCACCTTGCTGCAGGTACTGTACAGTAACCGCATGGCAAACACCATTTGGCCGTATCAAATGAACTTTCTCCGCACCAAGGCCGTTACTGTACAGTTCGTAAATCAGAAAAGCGGAGACAGTGACAATTCAATAAGTTTCGCACAAGTTGCTATGCAAGAAACCTCGCTCAAAAGGACAACCCGTCCAACTTGACAGGCCATTTGAAAGTCAACATTCTCCTCAGACTCATCTCAGAAACCACTGCAAAGTGTGAATTAAAAGAGGTTGCTACCTACGTACTTATCATTGAAAGTCTCATAAGCCCTAAGCGCTCATCCGCTCCTACAAAACGACACCATGTCCATCCCGCGCGACCAGCTCAAATTCCGGGCTCCCCCCTCCATGCAACTCAGCGATGGTTCCGCCGCCTCCAAGACCGCACCCCCGCAACCCGCCTCCGATCTCACGCCAGCCGAGCGGGCCACGGCCCGCTTCGCAGTCACCGGCAACGCCATCATCACTGGCGGCGCCGGCGATATCGGCTCCGTTGCCTGCAGAGCTCTGCTGGAGCACGGCCTCCAGGGTCTCGCCATCTTTGACCTTCACCCTGATGCAGGACAGGCGACTGTGAAGGATCTCAAATCCGAGTTTCCCGATGCCAAAATCACGTTTACAAAGGTTGACGTGACGGATGCTGAGGCAGTGTCGCAGGCGGTTGCACAGGCCGAACGTGACATCGGTCCAATTAACCTGTGCTTTTGCTTCGCGGGGATTGCCTTTGCCATTCATGCGCTGGATATCACGCCAGAGCAGTGGCGGAAGATGCTCGAGGTGAACACCACCGGTGCTTTCCTGGTCGCTCAAGCTGTGGCGAAGTCTATGGTGGGCCGGGGGAGTGGCGGAAATATCGTTCTCATGGCGAGCATTTCGGCGCATATCGTGAACTTTCCGCAACCGCAGGTTCACTACAACGCTGCGAAGGCAGCCATATTGTCCATCAAGAAGTCGCTTGCGGCAGAGTGGGCGAGGTACGGCATTAGGGTCAATAGTATCAGCCCCGGATATATGGACACCATACTGAATGAGGGCGAGGGCCTGGAAGAGCATCGGCAGACTTGGAAGCAGAGAAACCCTTACGGTAGGATGGGCAAGCCGGAAGAGCTGACTGGAGCTGTGATATTGTTGGCTAGCAAGGCCGGAAGTTACATCACTGGGGCGGACATTCTTGTCGATGGAGGAATTAGTGTCTTCTGAGGGGAAAGGTTCGAAGAGAGTGTCTTATATTGATTCTTCAACCATGCAACTTTTGTGGTCCAGTGCCGTCATTCTGGTCTATCCACTCGGGCTATTCAACATTCAAACCCTATGATCGTGCTTACCTCCATGTTTCTGGCGCCCTTTGGCATAAACCCGACTCGGCATAAGCCCGACCCCAGCTACGAGGAAACGCGTCGAGTCAAAAATGATTTCCAGAGATACATGTCCAGTGCTCTTCCAGTACCCTTAGGCTCTGAAAGTGAGTTGCAGAGATTTCGGCGGCTACTGGAAATGGCCTTAACACGTCTATAGTGGAAATAACATGCTTTACCTTTATATTTCCCTCCAACCGAGTCCATGATACTTTCTCATCCCACCGTATCAATGTCCGATGCCATCTATGTACCCAAGACCACATGAACTCTTCCGAAGGTGTAGCTTCATCAGCACTGCCCAACTGAAGCCTCATGACACCGAAATGGGACGATCTAAGAGCCTTTCAGTCGACATACTCGTAGGGGTTTTTGAGCGTCAGATGCAACAACGATCTTTTCTCCGCTGCTGGTCCATGTAATTAGGCAGGGGTACGGATGATCCAGCCCCCACCCGGCGTGCGGGACCCCAGCCTGGCGGGGGAAGGAATCCAATCTGGCTGTTCCCACAAACAAGGATACCCTATCCACTCCTTTGTGACAGGGGCGTAAGCAATCCACATGAGTCCACAAACGGCTCAGCCCAACGAGTTAGCGTCCGCCGGTTCCACAGGTCTCATATTGCCTGCTCCGAGAAATGACCAACCTCTTTCTCTTCCAACTTCGTTTGCACCCGCATTGAGGCACATCTCGATCCAGCTTTGACACACGAAAACGCACAGATTCTGGGAATAAGGAGCAATGTCCGCTGAATCCTCAAACATCTGGGACAAGGATGACGAATGGGCCGGAGTGAGCAGCTCCAGAGAGCGAAGGAAACGGCAGAACCGGCTCCACCAACGAGCGTATCGTGAGTGCTACCCACACCCAGACGGAGATGCGACGGCCTCGGATAGTGGTCGAAGTCCGTACGTATGCAGGCGGTTGTACCAACAACATCGAAATTAGGTGCCAAAAAGCGGCTCGAGAAGTTCCCTGTCGCACTACATGCCGGTCTCGACGTGCCGTCTAAAGCTGCTGCGGCTGGTGGCCCGAAACTGAGCGTCTCGGCCGTCATCCAGTCTACGACCTCCCGCCAAGAGCAAGCTCGGCTCTTCACAACCGTCATCGATCAGCTCCCCCTCTTGATCCTCGTCAGGTGCACCGGGCTCCACGAGAGAATCAAGGAGTTCCTGCAGATGGCGTTTACCAACTGGGGCCTGAACCTCCCCGCGGCGCGCGACCTGCCGCTCGTCACCCGGCTAAACACCTTTGACGCGCTGGCCCGCAACGCGCTGATGCTGCAAATACCGTTCGAGATGCTGGAAACGGACGAGTTTTGTTCTCTCTTCAACTACCAGGGGCCTAATACACCAGATCGGCCGAGTCTTCCCGAAACGTTACGTCCGACCGAACTGCAGAGGGCTGTGACGCATTATTCCTGGCTGGACCTATTCCCCATTCCCAAGATGCGGGATAACATACTGCGGGGCATTGAGGCGGGGATATATGACGAGGACGTCTTGTGCGAAACACTGTGCTGCGAGCTGCTGAATCTGGAGGACGGGACGAACGCGGCTCTCGTCGTATGGGGCGAGTCTTGGGACGCCGCGGGGTGGGAGTTTAGCACGGAGTTCTTTTCAAAATGGGGTCCCTTGTTGCATGGCTGCGATGAAGTACTGGAATCGACAAACTACTGGAGGCGCAAGAGGGGTGCAAGATGTCTTGAATTTGTACTGAGTTAGGCAGATTGGGTATCGTCTTTCTAAGAGAGTCCGTGTAACCTTCGAAACGCCCAATTATCCAAAATCCTCGACCCATTAACCTGTGTAATCCCATCACCACCGGCATCTAGCTGCTTATCATGTTTCCCACACGCCAAATCCACCAGGAACGGCCCGAAGTGTTCTGTCGGGGTATGTTGCCGCCTCAGTAGCGCCGACCTCATCATAGGCATCAGGACGGCACTCATCGCATGGTACGTAAATCCAGGATCTGGGATGTGCGGTTTGATAGCTTCATGGTTGGAAGGATCAACACCTACAGGCCGCACAGACTCAACGTTGAACTTCGAGGTGCGCAGCTTGGCCAACGCCACCTCTGCCTCCCCCTTCACCACGCCGTAGTACGGGGTGAAGAGCCCCGGAGTCGCAGTCGCGCCGCCACTTGAGACGTACACGAAGCGGAACGGCTTGTCGTCGGCGGACGGTATTTTGGAAAAGGCCGCTGCGGCCGCGAGAGGGTAGTCTTTTGTGATTTTTACGTATTCCCTGCGCTTGCGTCAGCTATCAACGTTGCGGATTGCAAAGGTGCAAAGACTGTACTCTTTTGTGACTTTTGTCTGGCTGATGCCCAGCGCCCAGACCACGCCGTCGGCATCGTCTACCTTGGCAAGGACGCTCGGGTCGAAGGTTTCGAAGTCTTTGTGGATGATCACGTTGGCTTTCGGGTTGTTTCCTACCATGGGCACCGGTCTTCGGCTGAGGATGGAGATCTTGGTCACGTCTTTGGATTTGAGCATCGCGTCGAGGACGCTTGACCCGACGAGGCCGGTGGCTCCCGTAAGAATGAGATGCATGATGGCAATGAGAGTGGGAAAGCAGAATGTTGGAGGAGGGAAAAGCAGAAAATCAATGAAAGAAAGCAGAAAATCTATGGGAGGAAAGATAGAGCCACCAAAGATGGGAAGACATGCACGTGATAGATTGGAGCTGTCAGGCTTATCCATGATTTCCATAATGTAGCCCGCAGCAGGGGCGTAAGCAGTCAAAACTGAGACACACATCCATCATGACCAATGGGGAGTGGGAGAGGCATGTTGGTTCCCTGGGTGTTGCGGTAATGCCTGCTCGACCCTGGGCCTCAAGTGGGTTGCTTACTCCCCTGTCTAGCGTGGACCCGAAATGAGATCTTGGCCCCCATTCAACCTTCGAAGTCGGGACGAAGACAAAGTCCGAGGACAGTGCAGGGACTATTGAGCCTCATGTCGTGCTAGCCGCATCTTCAAACCCCGCTGGCAGTCTTTGTGTCTATTCCTGTACTCACAGTGCTGGAAGCACTGATCTTCTACCTCGGGATAGCTCCGGCCTTGTTCAAACTCCGCTTGTAGTCGTCTTGCCTCGTCATGTATTTGATGCCTTGGATCATCAATTCGTTCTACAGACTAGTGGTACGTTGGGCAAATCTCTTAGCTCACCCTGGAAGAGGGTACAAAGTAGGCAAATATAGTTAGAGCATTTTGGCCGCTACTTCGTCCAGTAAGAACATCGCAGTATACGTACCTTGGGGCGTAGACTGGCAGTATATAAGTCGTAGTGCGACTCAAGACAATATTCATTTGGGTTTGTCTCTGACTTTCCAAATCACTTCAATCTCCACTCGTGATCGACTTCCGTCTTTCTGCCTACTGTGCTCTACTCCGGATTGCAAAGACTTCTGCAACTCAACACCGCCATCATGCCTCAATTTCGGCAGCAAGATATTCCTAAACTCAATGACCAAGTCATAATCGTCACCGGCGGAAACGCAGGACTGGGATTCGAAACGGTGAAGCAGCTCGCATCCCGCAATCCCGCCCGCATCTACCTCGCCGCCAGGTCGCAGGAGAAAGCCGAGCAAGCAATCAAGGACATCCAAACAGCAAACCCCGCCGCAAGGAACATCAGCTTCCTCAAGCTCGACCTCGCATCCCTCGAAAGCGTGAAAGCCGCCGCTTCCGCCTTCCTCTCCCAAGAGACCCGCCTCGACATCCTCATCAACAACGCGGGCATCATGATGACCGCAGAGGGCCTCACCACAGACGGCTACGAGATTCAGTTCGGCACCAACGTCGTCGGCCCCGCGCTCTTCACCCAGCTGCTTCTCCCCACCATGCGCGAGACCGCCAAACTCAACCACGAAACACGCGTCGTGATGCTCGGATCTGCATCCCACTCGATGGCGCCGAGCGACGTCTACAACTTTGCCGAGTTCCGCACCACGATGGCCGACCGCGCGACGACGCAGCGCTACACGATTTCCAAACTGGCCGATCTGCACTACGCCAAGGCCCTCGCAGAGAGGGAGCAGAGTGTCAAGATTATCCCCGTGCACCCCGGCATGGTCGCGACGAATCTCCACCACGCTTCTGTGGGGCTTTTTCTGCGGCCGTTCCTGTATGCGGCCGGTGTGTTCGCCACGCCTGTCGAAAAGGGCGCTCTGTCCCAGATATGGGCGGCTGTCAGCCCGGAGGCGAAGAGTGGGCAGTACTACGGCCCGATTGGGAAGGCGGAGTCGGGATCTAAGGCGAGTCAGAACCGCGAGCTTCAGGAGGCGTTGTTTTCGTATATTCAGACGGAGTTGGAAGGTCATGTTGAGAAGATGGCGTAGTTGAGATGCTCAGATAGTAGTAATTCATGGTTGACTCAGTGCAAAGGCTTCAAGTTCCTCGTTTCCGTGAGCCATGTATGGAATAGCATGGGCCACACCCATGTCGACACCTTGAGTCCAGGATGGTGAAAGAACGTTAAATGTTGTTGGGTACGCAGCTTCTACCAGCGGCTGGCCCTCGGGAGCAGTCGTGGACCCATACATATCCAGCCCTGGAACAGGTGGCACCTGTCCTGGAAGGTCTGTTGTTGGAAGCCCCCAGGACAATTCTGGTTGTGCCGAAAATGGTGGCGGCGGCATCGTGAATGGAATCTCGTTTCCCAGCGTAAGTTCATCCGGCGGCGACAGCTGCGCAAGATACGTCTGCTCTCCCGGCGGGAACAACCCCAGTTGCAGGTCGTGGTCCGCCGTACCGCTCCTCGAGCGCTGGTTCTCGTCAGCCTCGGCGGCCCAGTTATCGCCAAATCCGTTGTTGAAGACGCCATAAACCTCGTCCTTGACGCTCATCAACTGCGTCATCGCCTCTGAGACTGGCCTCGGCTCCACGAGGGGCTGCCCAGTCTGGGCGCGCATCGCATTAATCTCAGCCGCAAAGCGCCGGTTCTCCGCAATCAGGTCCTGCATATCCTCGGCGGCGTCCAGACACATGTCCCGCTGGGTACGGAAGTGCTTGATGCTCTCATTGACGATAAGGACTTTGTTTAAACGGCGGGCATTGGCGAGGGACGGGACCAAGCGGGCCAGGTCCTGTTCCACATGTCAGTCACCATGCCCCAACAACATCTAAAGTGTGCAGGGGCGACGTTACTATGATGTTCTCCTTCATCTCACACCGTTTCCTCTTCTCGGTAGCCAGGTTGCGCGCATTTACATGCGCGGGCAGAGGGCGGACCCGTTTCCGCTTTTGGACCTTGCCGCCGGCAGTGGTGTCGTGCGGGTTCGACATTGCTCAACGAATATCCAGAATTATGAAATGAAATTTCTGTGCTTCGGCGCACTGCCCAGTGCCAAGGGTCTTGAGAAAGAGGCTCAACGGGAATGCAGGCGCTGGACGGGAGTGATGCAACGCTCCTCCGTGTGCATCAGCAAGCTGGGTTGCTTCTCCGCAGTGGTGGGCGTGGCGGAATTCATGGCGGCAAGGCCCCGATAAGGAAAGTGCGGTTTGCTGATTTGAGGAGATCCGCTTGGTCGTTTTTAGCGTTGTGATTTGGTGTTGGTAGTCGGATAATGACGGTTGGGTTAAATGCATTTCGCTTATCCGCAACAGTGGACTAATGGATAGTGGAATTCACTGGGTAACTGCACTATTCGGATTGTTGAATGGTGGACCCCTGAAAGCAACCGTCCAACGGCTGACATCGCGTGAAGCCACTCCACGTGGGATTGAGTTTTTGTGGTCATCACCGAAAGCTCCGGCGTCTTGGGACTCGATCTCAATCAAAGATACCTTTGCTCCGAAAAACTGACCCTTACTACACTCTTTTGGTGTTTTGATTCATTTGTTCAAGATGTCGGCTTACCCCAAGACGTGGCGCGACAGCGCGTATCTTGTCATCTCAGCCATCCAGCTGACCGCCATGCTCAGTGAGTCTCACCCCTGCACATGTCTCTTCTCTCATAAGATGATCTTCACAATTCATGGATCTCTATGTAAATCACGAAAGATCTCATATCCAGTCCATTGATGTCATCTCCGAAGAGAAAGACGCGATATCCGGCATCTGATGCCTCGCATCATCTCACATGAGCTCAGACTAACCCTCTCACCAGTGGTCGACCTGGTCCCCCTCTACCCGGCCTCGCTCTACGCGACGCCGTCGTCGCCGCTGCACTTCCTCCAGCTCCTGCGCGATTTCTACATCAAGACCTACAAAGACCCTTTCTTCGTCATGTCGCACGACGCCCAGCCCTCGTGGTACAAGCTCTTCACCTACCTCGAGGTCTTCTACCAGCTGCCGATGACCCTGTGGATGGTCTACCGCTTCTCCCGCGGTACCGGCAGCACCCCGGGCTTCGAGCTTGCCGTGCTTGTCTTCTGCGTGGAATGCGCCTTGACGACGCTGACCTGCATCTACGACGTCTCCTACTGGGACCCCAACGTGTACACCGAGGCTCAGAAGAATGTCTTCATCTTCAATCTGTACGGCCCCTGGGTTGTGATCCGTAAGTTGCTCTCTGTATAGTGCACTTGCTCGATGCTGATGAGTGAATGAAGCCACGTTGATGGGACTGGACATGTGCCTGCGCATCCTCAACCGCGCAAGCTCCGCCGGCAAGACCAAGAAGATTCAGTAGAACAGAAAAGGGCCTCCGGGCATTTTTGGTTTCATTAGGATATCGTACATCCATGCTCGGTTAAACCGCGCGCGTAATCCAGACGATTGATCCAAACTCCGTTTCCCCATACGTCCATGTGTACAGTTCAGTTCCAGGCCAGAATGATTTCCCTCGCTTGCCCACCAAACAGGAAACTCCAAGCTTGTGTCGTGAAATGGCCTTCAAAGAGCGGCGTCAAATATACATGAATCGGACCACATCATACAACTCCTCCACCATCATCGTCCAAGGCTAGAAAAAAGCCCTAGTCCATACGCTTGGCAGCCTTGGAGTATCCCCAGCCATTACCAACACCGTTCAGGCCGTACCCCAGGGGCGTCGCGCCGCCGAGTCCCCGCCCCCTCAGCCTCTTGGGCAGAACCACGCCAAAGAAATACGTCCCCGCGACGAGCACGCCCGCCATGAAAGAGGTGATGATGTAGAACACGGTGCTCGCGTACACGTGCCCGCCCATGCCCTGCCACTCGACGTGCCCCTCTATCTTGGGCAGGTTCGGTGTCGGGAACCACCTCACGGACAAAGTCAACGGCAGCGGGTCACCGATCACCAACCTCTTCGTGTGTATGCCATCCATGTGGCTTAGCGGGCTCGTGCTGTACGCCGTGCCGGAGTCCAAGACGCCCGAGTCGTGCGGGCGGGTGTGGTGCTTCGGCATGCTGTGGAGGAGCACGTTCATGTGCGTGCTGACGTGCAGATGGCTGAGCTGGAGGGTGCCGGCGAGCGCGAAGACGAGGGGGATGTATTCCTGTACGTGGGGCTTCTCGCCGACGGTCTCGACGTGGGGCTTGGGGCGGGCGGGCAGGCGGCAGGATAGGGGTGCGTCGTTGTGGATGTAGAACTCGAGGAGGTGGAAGAAGGGGTCGGTGATCATCGGGATCGTGCAGTTCAGCTCGCCCTCGTGGCCGTACTGGAACTCGAGAGGCTTGTTCGTCTCTTCGCAGATCGGGAAAGGGATCCATTCGATTTCGTGGTTGGAGTTTTCGACGTGTTCTCCTGTTTCGCTGCGATGAGTGTTAGCTGGGCCGTCCAAGTCCAAGCGGCATCTCCACGAGAGGAAGTGATGGGTATCTTGCGCCCATTGGTACTGATGAGGGCTTGGGGGAGATCGCCAAGGGAGAGCACGCACGAGCTTCGGTTCATGCACTCCACGTGGATGGGCGCGCCGTAGTGGTAGGAAGGGAGGCCATCTTCGGGATTGGCTACAGCTAGCCTTGACAGGCCGAGGGCGGCGCCCAGCAGGAGATGCGACAGCGAAGGCATGATGGAGATGAATCGCGAGGTTGACGTAGGGCAACCGGCAGAATTTAAGGTGTCCTAGCAAGACCGGGGCATTGCCTGACTCGGAGTGGTGGGCGCGACGGAGAGCGATCCGGGTCCAGCTTTCCCCGGAGCGAACTGGAGATCATTTAATCAAAAGGTGACAGCTGTCACTGGAGCTGCAGCCCGCGTATCTGCACGGGCTGGTAGTAGATAAGGTAAGATAACAGTGGACCCGCTTATCTCACGAGATCACGTGGACAGTACCCCAGATGAGTTATGCAACTATCAGAGACTAGCTTGAATGAACCAACATCAATTATTCTCGGTAACATGGATCATTTTCGGCAGTCACCCTTATGCAACCTTTTTTTGCCTCAAGGCCCCTTCTGTTCAGGACGCAGTCTGTTGTCTCTCGGTCGTTCCTCGGCCCTTAAACATTAACTCCCGCTACCTGTACCTCTGCAAGGTTCCTTGCAATGATGAGCGACGAAAATGGACCGACTACCTCTGATGCGGCGCCCTACAGCTTCACTCTCAAGGATTTGAATGCGTCGACTTGGGACGATCACCCTCTGTGCAGAACGGCTTACAGCATGAAGAGATCAGGCTTTCACCGCTGGGGATTCGTCATCTACAGGACAACGTACGACGACGACGCGGCCTGGCAGCGCTATATCGAGGTTCTAAAGCGCACTGCACGAAGCGTGCTTGTGGATGAAGGAGGCGATGTGCTTCTTGAGCAGTACATGGATTGCAAGCAACTTTCTCCGGTCTTCTCGAGACTTGCTATTGACGATTCCAGGGCCGGTAATGTCTGATAAGGCCACGCTGGATGGCGCATCCAAAGCGGACGTCCGAAAGCACTTCATATCCTGGCGTGGAGCCCGTAGCGAAGAGCGCGATGGTCCCGGAGCCACCAAAGACAGAGCCAAACGTCTGCCGCGGTTCAAGCACTGCGTATATGTGGACCGCAAATGCCTCGATACGCTGGCTGGGCTGCCCGCGGACTGCGACGAGGAAGAGTTATTTAAGGTTGTAGCCGTGGTCATCGATGGGTCTGTCGACGAGAAGATTCCCGGAGATGAAGAGGGCTTGTATCCTGACATTGAGGGCTGCACTGCGCGCTATGTGGGCTGGAGATATGAGGACATTGAGATGCTGGTCGACACGTACGAAGAGTCTCACAATTACCCGTTGAGCCATATCGACTACAAGCGGCCACCCCTCATCTCACCAAACGGTCTCCGTTCAATGCCTGCCTGAGGTACACAGGTCTCACAACTACGTTGAGAACCTTTTGCGCACGGACTCAAGACGTATATTTGTCATTTTTCGCGGTATTTCCTCCAATGTTTATGGTAGTGCTGACAATTTCCCTAGCATACATCTCTTAGAGAGTCGTGCAAAGACAACACCTCTCTCGGTCTCTCCAACTGTTATGGTGTAGAAGCGAGTCTTATCCTCAGTCTTACAACCTTGTTAGTGTTCAAAAATATTAGGCTTCGCAGATACGTATTTCTCGACAACGCGCCTCGCCGCCAACAAGACGTCATTCGCTTAAGGTATATGCTAAACACCGGCCAAAGCCTTAACACCTTCCAACGTTTGGATCGGCTCTAGGGGCGAGTTCAACATGTCAGCAAGTTTCCAGTCGCCTGACTGTATTGCTCACCTGAACCGCCAGCCGGCGTTGTCTGACTGCCCGCCACTCTCACAGCCGATGATCTCCCTGGCGAGTCCATTGGCACAGCTATCGTCGTTAAGATCAAAGCTGGCGCCCTGGTTGAGATTGGTGATCTGGAATTCCCATTTCTGATTGCCGTACTGGTAGCAGAGGTTCTTGACCTCTCCGGATGCAAACCAGCCTTGGAAAGCCCCCTTGTTGCCATCGTAGCCCCTGCAAGCTCTCCCGGTGTGGTAAACTGCGTCGCCCTGGTTCGCCCATTTCTCACCATGGGTATAGCAGCCAGCTGAAACGTATGCAATGTTGGTGCATACCACAGCAAGGCTGGTAAGGTTGGAGGAGAGCTTCATGGCGTCGATTCTAATAGAATAGTAAATAAGAAGCTTTGAACCCGATGAGGTTTTCAGAGCCTTTGTTGAAGCTGAGAGAGTGCAGAAAAGGCGGTTGGGGTCAATGGGAAAACAGCATTGCTTTTATACACAAATTGCACGTGAGCCACATCGAGGAGATCAGTGGTTCCTCGGAACGGCGTCACTATTGTTAGCCGTCCTCAGTGGAAGACAGTCTCACAAGCTATCAGGTGCGATGACCCCAGAGCTCTTGCTTAAGAAGTCATCCTTTGGGGAGATTTCAAGGCCAGCCAGCAACACAACGGTTCCTACGATCCTGGAGGATTGTAACACAACCAATCATATGAATTCCTGAAGACCTGAGTGTTGCAAGTTCATGAACATTTGCAGGGCCGTTGTATTGCAATACGTGGCCTTGTGTAACAAAGAGCTGAGGGATACTTGTGATATGGACAGTATGCAGTCAGCCCCGGACCCCGAGGATCCTGTGGCGGTGCCAGGTATCCGGTTACACTGAGCCTTCCAAAACCACCTTCCAATGTCTGGTTTGAACTGGTGTACTAGTTATACTTCCTTTCTTTTCGACTGCTTACATTTCTTGGTAAGCGGTTCCATTGGATCGTATTACGACAACGGAAAGGCCTGGCAGCTAGGCGTTGACAAATATTACAGATACCGAAGCATTTCAAAGGCATGGATACCAGCTTCTCGTGACTTCTCATACAGACGTTAAGTTGCGAGGCCAAACCTTTGAACTCCCGAGACTAATTACGTGTCCCTGGTTGTCATCCCCGCTAAAATCATGACATGCGCGCATCTACTTGGCAAAGACGCAACAAGCCGTCCTTCGACGACGATTATAAACCATCCCCAGGAGTCTGCTCTTGGCTTAGGAATAATATAAGATTCGGTGGGCCGGAATTGCTCGTTGACTGCCATAATATCTGTGTCTGATTAGAACGAAGGGAACATCATTAATTTGCGTTACGAATGGCATTGACCCACCTGCCATATGGTTCGTGATTAGCTTTGAAGTTTCCAACGCCGCATCAAAAGCTGCGATCCCGTTGCTACGTTCCGTTCCTATTCCCGACCTCTTGTTACAGGGAGAATAGATGCCACAGGCCAGAGGCTCGCATTCTCCGCAAGAGCCTCACGTGCTTCATTGTTTCTGAAGCCTTGGAGAGTATTGCGCCTGCCGCTTTGTCTTGTAGTCTTTCCATGACAAGTCTTGCCTTGACTGCCTGGCTGAGACAAAGTCGACTGCGATCGTCTGGTCTGGTATTTGAACCACTCCCATTTCATAAATCGTCTTTTGTACATCCTTTGACTTAGAAACCGTTAGATCTTGCAGGACTGTTTGGTTTGGTACCCGTATCACTCACCTTGCACAAAACAGATATCTTCCCGTCATCTCTTCCATCACCATCTTGAGGTTCATGTTGTCTAACATGTAGAGCTTGTACAGCTCATGTTTTCTGCTCTCCCAGTCTTTATCACTAGGCCTGGGTGTCGAGGTCTGACGGCTTATCATCGTCGGATATGAAGACATGTCTGAATCATAATCTCCGTAGCAGCTATGATTGCATGTTGGAGGCTGTTCTTCCGCAGGGTTCAGTACCGATGCCAACTCCATGTCTGATTTCGATTTGCTGTCAAAAGCAACTTTGACGCAAATCCAGTATCAACCAATACCTCCCAACATGGAAGTGACTGAAGGTGTAATGATGAGGTTCAGGAAAGTGATTTTCCGCGTACCGGAAGGGTTGATAAAATACGGTAAATTTATACGAAGTGCAGGGGCGACGTTGGCTGCCAGCCTTAAATGAACCTTAACAAATCGGATTTGAGAGAACTGTTCTTGAGGGTCACCTGTCAGCCTCACCGAAAGCGAGGTAGACTGGGAGGAATGCTGTGCGATCGATTGGTTGATTGGCTATGCAGGCGTCCAATGCTCGTTGAGCTGCAAAGCCTTAGCCCCAACAGTCACATCTGCCATGGGTAATAGTCATACGTTTCCTTGCATTTGCATTCCTTGCCACCCCTTGTGATGTCTTATTGGTGCGAATCCCTCATCGCCCCCAAGCTCCCAGCTGCCCGGGCCTTTTTCACGCGATGCAAATTGGCTTAGCAAGGCTTTCACCTCAATTCGACAAATGGAAAAATGCCTGAGCCAGGGCCTGGTCCTGGGACACATCGCACGGGGCGATATCGTGCACTCCAGCCCTTATTCTCTCTATTGAATCATATGGTGTGTGCACAATTCTAATGAGGCTTATCCACAGAGACGAAGAGTTGTTGGTGCTGTGAGGTTGCCGCCATCTACCACCACTTCGGGTTCCGGGATCTTTGACGATTGCAGTGGTATTTCATTTCTGAGGCAAACTTAACGAGGAAAAGTACTTGTCATCGTACATATCTACATGTAATGTCATTTGCGCCAACACTACCTTCTAGACGTCTTCTACCTCAAACGCGTCCCTCAATACCCAGATCTGATACTTCAGGCTCAGCCATTCCGACCGCAGATATTAATCTAGATATCACAAACCAGAACTTATCCTCCATATCTCTCTTTGGCCTCCTGCAGATATCCATTGGAGGAAAGCTCATGCTCCAAACATCTCGCTATCTCTACTTCTCCAAGATCCATCCAGTGCTGAACCAGCTGATTCCTATACTGACATATTCTAGGAGCCAAGAACGACGTTAGTTCTACATCCCCATCCAAAATAGCTACATCAAAAAGTGTCACACAGGAGCCGAGCTCTCGAAGACCTGCTTCATGATGTCCTTCGTCGATATAGAATCTAGACAGCTCGTAATGGACCTCACCAAGCTTCCAGAGAAGCCAGGGACTCCATTCTGTCAATGAGTTTCGTCCCTCGGCCGCTGAAAAGACCTGCTGGAAGAATTGCTGGCAGCGGGCAACAAATTCCGCAGAGTCTACGGTCTTGAGCCGCCTAGACGTCTCAATTCTCCATACCTTCATCGAAATTGTAGTCTCAGAAACTTCTCCATGCTCTTGAATAGCCTCCTCAAGTAGGGCCTCAAAGCTGGCAAGCACCCTGTCAAAATCAGATTGGCTTTGACCGTTACCTCCGTTGAACAGCACGGCCTCCATCCGCCGTTCAATGCTGTTGAAGTTGACAGCGTGGTGAATTGCATCATATCGGTCCGCTGCGATATAATGAAGTCGTTCGATGCTCTCGATAACCTTGTCGTTGTCTTCGTTGGTGATGTGCTGCATCAATAGGGCCATTTGCGCAATCGGGTGGCATCGCTTCTCCGGGGTATCCAGTACGCCGTACAAATGACTCAAATAGCACTGGAGAATACGGTGCTGCTGGTAATCAAGAAGAACAAAGGGTATGTCGATAAAAAGCTGTCCATAAATGAAGATATCTTCCTCTTGAGCGACTTGGCCAATGTAAGCAAATGCCTTCTTCAGAACGGCGGTCCCTGTTGCTGTATGATCAGTCGCGAAAAGCTCGGATGCCAGGGCTATCTGAGAGCACAAGTCCTGGCCAAATGCCGGAAGGCATTCAAATCTGGAAATCTGACTCCAAATATGATTCTTGCTCGCGGAAGCGTCGATCATCTCTCTCAACTTGCCGAAGAGCAACTCGATCCGTCGAAGGTTGTCGCTCGCATACCAGATTCTGCTGGCGAGTGCTGGTATCTCGTGGGGAAGTCTCGGGGAAGTGGACGAGTTCCGGCTGCTACCTAGAAGTTTCGGGTTTCGTCGACGTCTCTTCGTCGTACCTTGGGCCATTTCAATATTCTCGCCATTCCTGAGCTTTTGTCGGATTTTCTTCGTGGTGTTCTTGAACCAACCCCATCTTCTAAAACAAGACTTGTACATCTTCTGCCTGTGACATCAAGTATAAGCTAATGGGAAACGCGCACTAGACAATTCGTAAACTTGCGTTGGGAAGAACTGCCGTTGCCCAAATATTTCCATGATTTCCCTCAGAGGAAGGTTCTCGGTCATATACAGCCTATGAAGCTCGTCTTTCCGGGCTCTCCATTCTTCTTCCGTTACTTGATTTGACGATGGGTGATCTTCGCTGCCCTCGGAAGACACTGAAAACGGACTGCCGGTTGAGATATCCGTCGACGGTAGAGTAAGGTGCTGATGCGAGGAGAGTACCGCCCCTGGGAACCGAGTTGACTCAGAGGCCTTCGGGGAAACGACAAGGCTCCGATCCTCTTCCGCTTGGAGGGGAGAGTTGGCCGATACTAAAGAAAGGGAAATAGGGCTTTCGGCGTCGTGAATGGCGACTGAAGGGATCTGTTCGTGACTCGCAACAACAATTTCTGCAGATAAATGGCTGCTATCGGTAGCTGTGGGTTCCATCAGACTTTCGATCCCGAGGACGCTGTATGGTGTCCAGTCGTCTTGGAATAATGACGAAAGTACAGAGAGGGGAGGCTCTAGGTCATTAACAAAATCCCCCATAGACCCCATGTTTTTCGATGGGAAGCAGACGAGGGCTAATGGCAAAATTGCCTGCGATTGAAAAGAAAAACACGAAACAGATTTTTGAAGATCGTAGTTGTATTGAGGAAAACAAACGAGCAAAACGAGACTCACAAGAACTCACACAGACACGATCGAGCCATATATGCTGGCACATCCCTCATACCTTCAAAAGAAGGCAACGGTGACGAGCCCAGCAGTCTACACCGCATCTTCCGACCTTTACCCCAGCATTGCAGGGGACTTTTACACGCAAGATTGCGCAGCCGGCTGACAGTTATCTGCATTCCGATCTAACTGTGACCTAGCTTATAGATAAAAGTCCTATAGTGTTATAGTTAGCTATCTAATAGTAGGGTCTACTAACAGAAACTAGGGATTAATATATTATAATAGTATACTAAGGTTATAGTCTAAGTTATAAGTTATAAGTTATAAGCTAATAGTAGATTAGGTCTTTAGAGGCTAAAGTAATTAGTCTTAGACTTAATAAGTAATTTATAGTAAAAATAAACTAAGAGTATCTATAAAGATAAATACTAAATTAATTACTAAAGAGCTATAGAAGTCTAACTTTAAATAAAGCTTAAATTATACTATATATAAGTCCTAAATAGTATCCTTTATCTATTTTTAGGTAATTACTTAGGTATATAGGTATTATAATTAGTTAGTAACTCTAACTAATTACTAAATATTTCTTCTTATACTTTACTAATTATTTCTTTATTTTATTATTATATAACTTATATTATAGTTCTTCTATTCTAAGTAAATTCTTATTATTCCTATTAATTCTATAGTATAAATATCCTATCTTAGCTACTTAATACTTAAATAAATTAGTTAACTATTATCTATATATAATAAGTTATAATATTAAATCCTCTCTCTAAAAGGTCTTATCTTTAAAACCTAATATAAGTAAGTTATTAATCTTAAATTAAGGATCTATTAATTATACTTCCTATTTTATTTANTATAATACTAATACTATATTAAGTTATATTTAGAAATTAAAATTAAATACTACCTCTACTTTTTATTATTATAACTATACTTTATATATTACTAAGTTTAGTTTAGTTATTAATATACTTTATTTTTATTATTATTCTTTAGAGAAGTATTATAAGTTTCTTTTTAATAGTAAAGTTTATAATAAATATACTTATTTAAAGTAGTTTTATAACGTAATAGTAAATACTATTTATACTTATAAATCTTTATTTTTATTATATTTCTTATTTAGTACTAACTTATCCTAGTTAATTATTTATTAAATAAAGTTATTTATTTAGAAGATACTAAAGTAACTAAAGAGGAGGTACTAAAAAAGAAAGTAGTTACTTTATATATTATATAAACTAAATTAGATAAATCTATAATATAGTTAGATTACTTATATAAGTAGAAAAAGATAGTATTTTAAAAAAGTTAAGAGGTTATAAAAGAGGAGCTAATAATATCTCCTATATTAGAGGTTTAGTTTATAAATAGTTTTAATATTCTAAACTTAGATTTAATTCTTAACTAAAATCTTAATACTCTAAATTTCTTATTAGGGGGGTTTTAGTTATATTCTAGTATTTCTAGTTAAATAGATATATTTTCTTATTATACTAATCTAAAGTATCCTCTTAGTTATACTTATACTAATAGGAGTTATATCCTTTATTTCTTAGTTTCTCTTTATTTCTATTATATCTCTTCTTATATTTATCTTTCTCTTTTATTAATATATTTTATATATTCCTTAAATTCTTCTAAAGTTATAAATAAACTTAGTTTATCCTTAAGATTAATATAATTAAGTATTTTAATATACTTATTAATCTTATTTTAATACTTAAGTAGGTTATTATCTAGTTCCTATATATTATCTTTATATTTATAGTTTTTCT